AATTAAGTTATTATCGACAATACTTCTGACTGAAATTAACGACGAACAGAGATGATTCACGATGAAAAGTTTGAGGGGTTTTGTTCCTCGGTTGGCAATGAACACGATGGTGGTTTCGGCTCATCGATCGGAGGTCGGACGGCGAGTAGATCGGAGTTGAAAGAAGGGTTGTTGGAGAGGGAAAACTGGGAAAATATTCTGCTGAACATACGGGGGAGAGATTTATAATTCTCTCCAAAATAAAAATGGTTAAATCATGGGTTTAGCCACTAAATTTTCTGTACTTCTTAAAACGGTCTGTCAACTTTAAAATTTTACAATTTAATCCCCACTTTCTTCCAAAAATACAAATTAAATTCACCACTTTATAATTTCTTAAATTTAGCCCCTAAAATGGGGTGTTACAATTCTCCCCTCCTTAAAAGAATTTCGTCCTCGAAATTCATTCATGTCACATTATTGCAGAAATGAAACTTCCATCAGTTGTTTTTTCATATCTTCCATGTAGCTCTTAAAGAAATACGGATCCTCCACTAACCTTAACCAGTTGAGTATACCTTCTTGTCAGAACTCTCTCTCATTCCAATAAAAGAATCCGAACGAAAATTTCCTTGAGTAATCAATTCAGTCTTGGTCACGAGAATAGGCTCATAAAGCAATAACATATCACAATTTCATTTCCGAAGTCGGGTTAAAATTTCTCAGATGAATAACTCTCATATGGCTCGTGAGGTACTTCATAGCATTTAGATAGATGTTAATAGTATTCCTTTTTGTACAAGTATAGCCTTAACGGATATAAACTTCGGTTTACTCGTTACAGATAGGGACTCAGCCCTGGAGTTCCGGTTCAGATAGGTACGATTATAGTCTAAGGGCATGTATTGATCAGACATATTTTGACATTCGACCGGTCGGTCTAACTTGAAAATTTTGACTCAAACCATAGCTCTGATACCACTCAATGTAACCCCCCAGACCGATACGGGTAACCCGATCCGATCCGGGAAGTCACATTAGGGCCACCGGAAGACCCACCGTAAAAATAGCGAAAAATTTAAAACTTTTTACCATAACATGTAAACTTATAAAATGATTTATCAGTATGTATAAATAAAACAGATTTTTAGACTCGTACATAAAACAAAATTCAATTACATACCCCCTAATCACATGTACCATTCTCTGGAAACAACGCCGGAAGAATTCCTTTACTAATATTGATAACTGCAATGGTACAATTCTTTTAACCTGCAATGGTGAGTAATAGAGTGAGCTTCGGAAAGCTAAGTAATACAGAACTACCAGATGATGCTGAAAAATGTGTAGATACAGATAAACATATTTTCCTTATTGATTCAGATATTTACAGATCTTTATGTTGAGCTGAGGTCCATTGATATCGCATGTAGTAACAAATAGTATTCATTTCAGATGGAAATATTTCGGATGTCTAGGTTCAGGAGATCAAAACAGGTTTTCTAGTGTGTTCCCAAAAATCATGTAACTTTTCAGATCTTTTTAAAACATATATATATATATATATATATATATATATATATATATATATATATATATATATATATATATATATATATATATACCCCCATCCGTCAAGTCCAAAATGTATAGGTTCCCTAGAACCATACACCCGCCGTCAAGTCCAGTAGGCCCTGAGCACACAGCCGAGGAACTTCCAGGTATACTTCCTCCAACATTACCCCCCAAGTAAAACATGTTCCGTCCGTAAACGGATATATCAAAAATCATAACATAATCCATGTCAAGTATCAGATCAAAATTCAGGTCAAGTATTCAATCAGAATCCAGGTCAAGTATCTGATCAAAATCCAGGTCAAGTATTATAATAGAAATCAAATCGAAAATCAAGTAAAATATCCAGGTGATTAGGGAACACACCAGAGTTTACAGAAATTATTCAGAGGTACTGGATAATCTTAGCAGGTAGAGGAACACAGATCTTCAATATACCGATAGAATATCGGAATTCAGAATCACTATTGGAAGAGTTCAATAACTGACAAAATCATAAAAAACTGAGCTTAATTATGAAAAACGGATCGAATCGGATGATAAATCAGTGAAAAACAGTTTACCGAGTTCGAATTTGGCGAAACGGACTTCGGATTCGGGACGTCGAAAGCATAAAATATGACTTTTCCAAAATTTGGAATTTTCGGTCAAAATCAAAGTCAAAGGGTTTGACTGGTAATTTCGAGGCCTCCGGTATGAATTTCGACAAAAGAACTGTGGAATCGGATTTGGAACGTCGAAAAATGTCAGGATAGATATACTCGGTCAAAGTCAGAGGTCGTTTATGCCCGGTCAAAGCCGGTCAAAGTTTTGGTCAACAGTGGTCTACGCCGGTCAACGGTCAAAGGGTCAGGTCGGGTCGGGTCGGGTCGGGTTGTAACCGGTCAAACCGGTCAGATTGGTAAAAAAATCGGTCAAACCGATCATTTAGACCATCCCCATGCGCAGTGGCGGCACGTGGGACCCACTTCGGTGTCATATAAATCACGTAAAAATTTCTAAAAATTATTTTTAGCGATTTCGATATACTTACAAAGCTCGGTTCAAATTTTTGAACAGCGGAGAGCTCGATTTCAACAAATCGAAAACTTTGATCGCTTCACCTTCTCACGCGCCGCCGTCGACGGAGATCAATGATGACACCGGTAGACTCGGAACGATGCAAGGAATACGATGGTGCGGGAGGTGTCGTAAACGGATTATCAGATCGTCGTGAATAGACGAAAAACCAATTAAAATTGAGTTATTACCGACGATACTTCCGACTGAAATTAACGACGAACGGAGACGATTCACGACGAAAGGTTTTAGGGGTTTTTTTCCTCGGTTGACAATGAACACGATGGTTGTTTCGGCTCATTGATCGGAGGTCGGATGGCGAGTAGATCGGAGTTGAAAGAAGGGTTGCTGGAGAGGAAAAACTGGGAAAATATTCTGCTGAACGAGACTTATAATTCTCTCCAAAATAAAAATGGTTAAATCGTGGGTTTAGTCAATGAATTTTCTGTACTTCTTAAAACGGTCTGTCAACTTTAAAATTTACAATTTAATCCCCACTTTCTTCCAAAAATACAAATTAAATTCACCACTTTATAATTTCTTAAATTTAGCCCCTAAATTGGAGTGTTACATGTTAAATCTTGATTAAATAAGTTTTTTTAATGGATGAATTGGGCCATATATCGTATTATGCGTATGAAATTCTCCAACTTAGGTTATAATATGTTTTCGTATAATTTTCTATTGATTTACAGCATGAAAAGTTACCTTAAAAGTATCAAATTTATACATTATGGTATGAAGTTATCGAACCATAACAAGTGCGACAATACTCTCTAATTATATTTGATTTTTGAGAAATCAAATATAAAATTTATCGATATATTAAAGGTATTATTGTTATGTTTTTATTGAAAATTTTCAAACATTGGATGCAAAATTTATAGTTATACTTCAATGTAATATTGATACCATTACATATGTATCAATCCTTATTTCTCCAGAAATTTGATTTTTTATCTTCTAAAATGTTTATAAGTTTCTAATAATCCTAGATTTAATTCAGATGTGTTTTTACAGTTGTTTAATTTTTATTAGATTTGATAGTGTTATGTTATCCGAACGTGGTATTTTTCATTCCACTAAACGTTTAAGTTGGATAAAATATATTACAATTTATAGTTAACAATCTCTATAGCAAATGATTAAAAACTTTCGGATTATATATCTCATCTCTCTTAAGTTGTAGATCCAATGGTCATTAGTAGCAACATTCCCTTTCTCTCTCCTCCTAGGTAAGAATTGTTTTGGTTGTTGTTATACGCACGCATCGATTATAACAATGTTACACCCCTCGTACAAGCAAATTTGACTGAGAAATTTGATTAAAAAAAATCACAAAACTTGAAAGAGGATGAGTACGTTGAACAGCAAAAAAAAACACCATTAGATTCGAAATGGTCACATTTAGCACTAAAAGGGGATTTTTAAAAGGTTATATTTTTGTTTTTTGTTTTTTTTTTCATGAAAGAGGGACCCTCATCTGGTGTGTCACATTTGGGAAATGGCGAAGAGTTTCATTGATTAACTCAAACCATTTCAATTTGTTTCATCGAATCTCGTTTCCGTCATTATACTAACCGTGACCATTTTATTAAAAAAAACTATTCCCAATGCTAAAAAGCATGAGATATTAATTGTGTTGTAACAGTTAATATAAGGTAAAAAAATTGTAATAAAAAAATTTAATTTTAAACTTTAAATAAAATATAATTTTAATAATAAATTTTAGATAAAATATTAATTTGACTCTTGATTTAAATCAAAATATTTTACTGTCAATCGTCATTTACCACCATCACTGTTGGTCACTACAGGGCTCAAATTCTAAGGCTAAAACTTTTAATTTATTTTTTTACCACAACATTAATTACTTTCTATCGACAGTATGTATAACATAAATATATAAGTCTAAATTATACTATTAGTTTAAAGATTAAAAATCAATAAAATAAAATTATAATTTATAAAAAAATTAAATATATATAATCAATATTACAAACCCAACAAAAAATTGTAGTATAATATATTATAAATTTTTAATATTAATTAGCTTTTCCCATTATTTTTTAGCTTTTCTTTATTCTTTAATTTTTAAAAGAATTTTTATTAACTTTAGAATATTTGTTGAAGTAAATTATTTTTAATAAAATTTATTAATGTAAAAAATATTAATTTTCGGATTCTAATTATAATAATGCAAAATTTGAAATTGTAGCTTGTACTCATCTTCGGAAGGATTAATTCATTGTTCCTCAAACTTGGAATGTGAGTAACAGAAAATATTACAGGACTCGGAAAAAGCGAGTGACAAATACAAATATATTCAATTTCCAAAATTGTTTTGAAAGATCTATTGAAGACCCATATAAGAATATGAGTAGAGAAATACGAAGATGCTAAATAATGTTAAATTTAATTCCTCCCACCCTTGTTTCTTCTAGATGAGACTACTACCCAACCATCTTCTGCTTCAGCTGCCTGGCTTGGTTTTGGCTCATCTACTGGCATACTGGTCAGATCCGAATTCGGTACATCTGTCATCATAGTTGTTGCATTGTCCGCATCCATGCAATCATCTTCATCGTCGTCCTCGTCATCCTCGGTAAACTAGGATAAAATATGGATACATAAGTAAAACGAGTTAACACAAAGCATACCATTTCAGCCATCGGATTCTTCATCCACAACAATCGCTAGGTAATATTTAATTTGTTAGCAAGGAATCCACCATGCAAATGGGGTTACTATTTTATGAGATGACATTGTATTTAAAGTCAAAGAACGGTCATTTACCGTAAAGGGATTCAGCAGTATAAAGTATAAACCTTTCCAGTTCAGATTATATAACCCACTGAAGAAGTTAATTCACCAAAAAGGGGATCAGCCGTATATAGCATAAACCTTACGATTTCATATTATACAGTCCATCGAAGAACAGTAATTCACCCACAAGGGGTTCAGTAGTACAGAATGTAGAACTTCCCATTTCTGATAATACAATACACCCTAATGAAGAAAAGCCAAGGCATTTCTAAATCAAGATATGGCATGAAAAAATGCGTGTAGCCTATCCCCCACTCGACCAACTGAAGCTATGGTTTGATTCCTATCATGTGTACCCACCAAGACAACTCCATCACAATTTACGGCTTCCATTGTTTTTTCAGTTGAGGATTACACTTCCAATGTACTCAGTAGGAACCAAAGTTCTGGTTCTAACTATAGGGATCCACAACCGAATAGACTAGCCTATGTTCAGCTCACGAGCCTTTCCCTCAGGAAAGCAAATCCCTAATCAGAGTCTGTTTCAATTCACATCTGCAACACCTTTAAGGAACAGTACGCCTTCTTTCTGTGTGTTTGTACCTTTTCAAAAGAAAATTATCTACAGAAAGGGATTGAAAGGTGAAAAGTTGAAGTAATCCCAAACTATAGGCTACTCTCTCTCTCTCTCTCTCTCTCTCTCTTTCATTTAGTAATTATAGCATGAACTATAGAACTCATTTTTCTCTTTTTATATTTTTGTTTATTAATTTTCTATCAAGCTTCAAATATAGATAAAATCCTAGCAGAGAGAAAAAATAATATAAATATATGTCAAAGACTGCCACCTCCTCATTCAAAGGCTCACACAATAATTGGTATCTCACACCCTTGAGAGTTCCCAAACAATCCAAGAATTCTCTTCATATGACTAATAGGATGGGACTTTCCTAATATGCAACATAGTCATACGAATCATCGAAAACAAAAACACAAGAAAGCAATGATAAACAAAATCAAAATTCCCTGTACAGTAGAATATAGTATATTATCTTCAACATTTCAACACTCAACACAGCTATATTAATCACTGAAAACAAAATTCAGGAAAACAAGCAAGGATAAATATAAGTAAAATCCAATAAAGAAAGTACTCTGTAGTATATTGTCTTCTACAAAACACGTGTGCAAAAAGGGGTTTGAATAACTAGAAATTACCGGTTTGACATGAGCAACTGGTAGAGGATTCGTAGTCCTCAGTTTTTCAATAGATTGATAGTTACCTTCTAAACATTCTTCATGCATAATCATTAACTTCTCTGCCACCTGTAACAAGTTGAAGAAATATAATATTTATTGTTAAGCAATAAAAAGCATAAACCCAAACCTTCTAAAATAATTATAAAAGTAACTGCTGTGTTATATGAACTCAAGATCCAGTGTTGAACACAAATATTTATCATGTATTACGTGTCCAAGGTGCATCAAATATGGTTATTTAGGGTAAATAACAATTAAAAATTGAACAATGGACAAAAGTAAGTACATATTTAAGTTACTTGGACTCTGAGTTTAGGAGTACATCCACATGAGTCTACCAAGGATATGCTTAAAGCAACATATGTACAGATATAGATGAATACTATAAAGAATAGTAGAATACTTCAAAATGTTGTAATCCAAAACTTGCACTTGTTATAAATTAGCTAGTAAATTTAACTCCAAAAGAATAAAAAGAGAATTCATACTTACACCTAATCAAAATATTACAGAAGTTCATAATGAGCTATAGCAACAGCGACATGTGAAGAACGAATTACAAAATTCGATTAAAATAATGACAAGAGGCACAATTTTGAAGGTTATAACAATTAAACAAAAATATATATTCAAATAACGTGAAAAATCCTGAAATGGAACCAAGAACAAACTCAAGAATTAAAAATACCTCCTCAATGCTACCATCTTCAACTAACGTATTAAGACTAAGCAAACCTTCCTCTAAAACATTCTCCAAATCGTCTATATAAAGCGGCTCGGCTGAGATTAAAAACAATATATATATATATATAAATGGACCCGAAATATAATCAAATTTAATTATTGAAATTCAGAAAAACAGAAAAAGAAAATTGAGCAATCTTAAGATATATAAAACAAAATGGACCGTTGGATTCAGTGAAGAAGGATAACACGTCGGAGCAGATCATGTTGGCTTTGATGCGAGAGTCTCGGCCGCCCCACTCGTTTTCGACGGCGGCGGTTAGAGCCGACCACCGAGAGAGGATTAAGCTTATTCCTTCTTGGAATATGGGAGTTGATTCCGCTGTTAGCCTTCTCGTTTCCATTGGTTTTTGTCTTCCTTTCTCCGTCTCTGTTTGCCTTCGGGGTTTCGTGGTCGTGGCCTTGTATGTTAGAACTAAAACCCTACGATTTGAAGTTAATGGGCTAAGATTGGGTTTTAAAGGATCCTATTGTATTTAAGACTTCAGTCTACCGCCAACTCAAATCAAAAGCCCGTTTATCTCTGGTTAACTTGAAAGGCATTTGAGTTGGTGTTATAATTAACTAAACACTATATAATTGAAAAAAAAGAATAAAAATTTTGTTTTTACAAATAATAATTAATAATAAAATAATTTTTTTATATTTTTAATAAATAAAATAATAATAACTCCTTTAAAATCAAATACGTGATCAATTAATTTATATAAAATTATTGGTTTAAGGGGTTTATCCTTATAGTTGTCCTAAATCAATAATTGTATCCTTTCTTTTTAATTATATTAATTTAGTCCTAAACTTTTCAATTATATTGTTTTTCTCATTTGACTTATAAAAATAATCGTTGATCACATTCACGGGTCTAGAAATATTTTTTAGGATGAATACACATGCATTAATAGCATAAAAATTCCATATAGGGCAGACACAAATAAAATTTCAAGATGGGTATAATCAATAAAAAAATAATTAATCGAAGAAAATTCAGTTTTTAAACTTGAAATAAAGGTGAACCGTCACTAGTTGACTGTTATATTAATAGTTAATTGTGCTCATATGATGATCTACTATACTACCACAATGGCTCGTATAGTATTATATTTTTATCTTTTCATACATAATACAATATTAAAACAAAATATATAAAATATCTATTTAAAGATAAAATAAATATTTAATAAGATTTATAAGTAAACTATTTACGCTCAATTAATAATCATTGTTCAATAAATTTAAAAATATATATATTTATTAGAACGTAGACAAAGTCCATTTAACCCTAGACAAAGTCATCATCCTTATGCATGTGTAAATAATGAAATCGAACCCGATAACCGTTTTCATCTGTTTCCTAGCCATGTTTCACTTCACCCGAAACAAACGTGTCCAAACCTTGCATGCCCCATGCACGTATAAAACAAAATTTAACGAACTTCTCCCCATCTCTTTCCTCGATTGAATTTCTCAAATTCTTGCAAGTAACGAAACCCATAAAAAGAAAAAATGAGTCAGCAACAACATATGAAGCCTGAAGAAGAAGCGATCAGATACGGAGATGTATTCGACATACAAGGCGAGCTTGCGGAGAAGCTGGTGGCGCCTAAAGACGCCGCCATGATGCAGATAGCGGAGAATGCCTTGCTCGGCGAAACCAATAAGGATTGCGCCGCCGCCGCTATGGAATCTGCGGCGATGATGAACGAGAGGGCTGGATTCGTCGGTCCCGACGATGTCAATGTCCACAGTGCTGTTACTGTCGAAGAGACTCATCTCGATGGGAAACGTATAATCACAGAGTCTATTGATGATAAGGTAATTAAGAACATATATACGAGGCATCCACAGTCTAAAATTCATTTAAATCTTCCAAATTTTTATTTATTTTTTTTGCATGATTTATATTTATCTATTGACATGGTAGAGATCTTTGAAGAAATAATAGGATTGATTAAAAAAATTAAAATATAAATCATCCCCTTGTTTGATAAGTGATAACCAGTTGAATATATATGTATATATTCATGTGATGAGCAGGTTATCGGGAAATATAGCCAGGAAGTTCCATTGTCATACTCGGCTTCTGGACCGAGTGGTGGTTCCAGAAGTCTAATCACGATCGGAGAAGCACTCGAAGCAGCCGCTCTTACAGCAGGGACGAAGTCGGTAGATTGGAGTGATGCAGCTGCAATACAGGCGGCGGAAGTGAGAGCCACCGGCCGTAGCAACATAATTCCCGGAGGCGTTGCCGCTGCAGCTCAGTCAGCTGCCACTCACAATGCCAATGCAATTAGAGAAGAGGACAAGATCAAGTTGAGTGATATCCTCTCGGTGAGTACTAAAGCACCCGTAGTAGTACCAAACTAAAAAAAAATATTCAGAATATATATAAAACGAGCAGATAGATCGAGATGGCTGATGAGGTCTACTGTTCCTCTAAAAAATTTAAATTTTTATATAATTTAAATATTTATTATTGATAATTTACTTTTTCCTTTAGAATTTTATAAGTAGACCATATTATTAAAATTTTGTGTCGGTCGAATTGTAGAATGCAATGGAGAAGTTGCCATCAGATAACACAGTAACAAAAGATATCGCAGAAGAGGTGAGTGTTGCAGAGATGAGGTGTGATCAGACGTTCACGGCACGTCCGGTGGGTGTGGCGGCTTCTCTGGCGACGGCTGCTAGGCTGAACAACAAGACCACCAATTGAACCATATTTTTCTACCTATCTTACGGCAAATACTATGTAATTTCATAGTATAAAACTTTTGCTCTCTACGCGTCACTTTATCTTGTAATCTCTTTTACCTGATTATATGAATAAGGCGAAAGTGGATATATTTATCCGATTCTTCTTCTATCTTTTAATCTATAAATTATAAACTCATTTTTGCAATGGTTTTAGTGAATCTGTCAAACAATAGCAGTTCATTGTGACTGGTAATCTCTTTTTGCCATGCTCCTTGTCTTTGAAACTCTAATTAATGATGGGAGTTACCTTTTATCTTTACCAAGCGAGTAAATCCACTAAGTTAATTGTATCTTTGATCAGGTTAATGATTAATCGGATATAAATAAATAAAATATTAAAAATTTATCTGTTAAACAGCAATAAATGTTATAATTATTTTCCAAAAAGTGATAGGTTAGATTTTACCATTTTATGACATCACAATGTTGGTGAAAGAAAATATTTTATAAAATTCATTTAACAGTGATTGTAGGTGAAGTTGTAAAGAAATTACATATAAATTTTATTTAGGTTTAACGAGTATTTTTATCCATGTATTCTAATAAAATTATTAATGTCGTCATTTGATCGATAAAAGTTATTGTTGATTATTAAAATAGTGATGTGACAATTAATTATATTAATTTGAGAATCCACGATATGAACATACTAGACATCATAGATGGACTTAATTAATATTTTAAAATGTTAGAAGATATTATTGATTATTTTAAAAAGTTCAAATATCTACTTACAAATTAAAAAAATTTGAAATTATTATAAAAAACAAAATATTATTAAAAGCTATAATGGGAAGTGCTTGGTATTATAAAAGAAATAAAAAAATATTACAAAAATTCAAGTGCTATCATCGAATGACCTTTTTATCATTTCTCGATACTTTAAATTTATTATCTTTTCTAAAACATATTTTCAATAGATTCAATCTTATATTACAGCAATAATAACCTATGAAATTCCCTCAAACAATTTCAAACTAATAAACTTTTGTCTACATTTAATTGATGACAATTAATATTATTTTGGACCTTAAATTTAACTTTTTAAAATCAAATGATATAACAAGATGACATCAGTTTGAATTTTTAAATAACTCTTTAGTGGATTATGATTTTTTTTATCGTTTTATGTGAATATATTAATAAAAATTGAATTTTACTATTAAGAAACTTAAACTAGTGTCATCTTATCACTCACACATAAGAAATTAAAATTTGAGAAGCAATAGAACTCATTAGTATCACTTTGGTACAAATTACGTCTCATCGTATTTAAATTATAAGAATGAACCTCAAATGTTGACAATATTATAATCAATGTTAATTTTAATAAATATATATTTTAAAAATAATAATAAACTTAGACTGACGAAAATATCGAGTTCTTAACTTAATCTAGTGATTAGGATCAGACTTCCTTCCTAGGGTACAAGGTTTGAATCCTCACTTGTAAAGTTTTTTATTTTTTTTTATTTTTCACCATTAATATGATAATACATATCCTCCTCTTATTAGATAAAATAATTTAATAAAAAAACAAATAATATTAATTTAATAAATAAAGAATTAAAATATTTTTTATTGATATAATATATCATCACTTGATGCACATGATATATTTCACATCATCATTATTTAGTACACGTGAAATATATCACATTAATAATAAATAATTAACGATTTTTATTTAAAGAATAATATTTTGATAAAATAAAACATTAAAAACTAAAATACTTAAGTAATCGAATCCATTGAATGGTCTTAGTGGTTAAAGAGATTGTCACTCTCTCTTGATGTTATGGATTCGACCAAATGTTTTAGCAAGATGTGTATGCATTATCAATTGCTAAAAAAGATTACAAACAGGTAATACATTTTAATGACCCGACTACTAAAGAAAAGTGATTAAGAATTCTGCATGTAACAACAAGGTTTGAATCCTCACTTGTAATTTTTTTCACCATTAATATGATAATACATATCCTCCTCTTATTAGATAAAATAATTTAATAAAAAAACAAATAATATTAATTTAATAAATAAAGAATTAAAATATTTTTATTGATATAATATATCATCACTTGATGCACATGATATATTTCACATCATCATTATTTAGTACATGTGAAATATATCACATTAATAATAAATAATTAACGATTTTTATTTAAATAAGAATATTTTGATAAAATAAAACATTAAAAACTAAAATACATAAGAAATCGAATCCATTGAATGGTCTTAGTGGTTAAAGAGATTGTCACTCTCTCTTGATGTTCTGGATTCGACCAAATGTTTTAGCAAGATGTGTATGCATTATCAATTGCTAAAAAAGATTACAAACAGGTAATACATTTTAATGACCCGACTATTAAAGAAAAGTGATTAAGAATTCTGCATGTAACAACAAGTACTCATTAGACAAGTTGAAGAATATGTCACGGAAGTAAGTGTTTGATTTCAAGGATATGCAAATGAAGGTGAAGAAGACAAGTTGACTTTCCTTTTCCTTTTCCAAGTTTTGTCAATGATAAACACTTTTCTTTTCTATACAAAAATTTAACTACCAAAAATTCTACATGTAGCTGTTGTGGAAGACGACTATCGGATAGAGCAAAATCGCAACTGATAATTTGAGAAAATAAAAATGAAGATAAAAGAGACACAAAATTTACATGGAAAACCCCTAAATAATATAGGGTAAAAACCACGGACAATGGTAGAAGAATTTCACTATGAGAAAATAGGAATTACAACTTCTCTCGATCTACCAAGTAGAAAACAATGATAATTCTCTCTTGATAAAAAGGAGAAAACAACTCTCAAGAAACTCTCTAAATTCTCTCTAGTATTGGAAGAAAGCTAGAATGCTTTGGGATGGTTTTGAAGCTAAATGAGCTAGGGTATTTATAGTTGAAGCTTAAGGACTAATCTTGTAAATACCCTAAAGTACAATGACTAAAATGTGTAATTTTGCCATGTCACTTTTCAACCATTATTAGTGCCAACTATGAACCATTATTGTTACCAAATTACAATGCATTATGAACCATTATTATGCATTATGCAACTATTATTAGTTGCATGACAACTAATAATCTCTCACTTGAAGATTTGATTGGAACAATCATATTTTCACACCATTCTTTCTACCTTGTACCATCATGTTGCTTACGTCTCTGACAGGCCACAAGAGGATCGACACCAAGTAAATTTATCAGCATTGATCGCTTTCGTCATGAAATCTGCTATGTTGTCTTTGGTATGGATCTTATGCATATCTACCGTCCTTTCTTCCACCTTTTCACGAATGAAATGGTAATGAACTCGTATGTGCTTTGTCCTTAAATGAAATGTTGGATTCCTTGCTAGATGCAAGGCGCTTTGACTGTCACAAAACATAGATACATACTCTTGATTGTGCCCAAGCTCCTCCAATAGCATCTTCAACCAAATTGCTTCTTTATTGGCTTGTGTAGCTACTACATATTCTGCCTCTGTTGTGGATGTAGCCACAACTGACTACAATTTTGAAACCCAACTTACAGCTCCACCAGCAATTTTGAACACATATCATGTAGTAGATTTGCTTTTATCCAAATCCCCTGCATAGTCAGAATCAACATACCAAGTAAGTTTGATCCTCCGTAACATAATGCAATATTTGAGGTCCCTTTAATGTATCTCAAGATCCTCTTTATTGTATTTCAATGCTCTTTGTCTAGATTCGCCATGTACTGACTAACCACTCCCACTGCTTGTGCAATGTCTGGTCTTGTGCATATCATAGCGAACATTAAACTTCCCACTGCCGATGCATATGGCACTCGAGACATATTCATCATCTCTTATTCACTGCTAGGACTCATACTGAAGGATAATTTGAAGTTAATAGGAAGAGGGTAAAAATTAGCTTACAATCTTGCATGTTGAATCCTGACAAGATCTTCTTCAAGTAATTCTTTTGCGAAAGCCAAATCTTCCTATTACTTCTGTGTCGGTGAATTTGCATCCCTAGAATCTTGTTTGTTGATCCCAAGTCCTTTATTTCAAATTCCCTAGCCAGTTGTGCCTTCAATTCTTCAATATGATCTTTGTTGGGTCCTGCAACCAACATGTCATCCACATACAACATCAATATAACAAAATCGTTATCACCAGACCTCTTGAAATAAGCACAAGATTCAGCATTAAGTTTGTTGTATCCAAAACACATAATGAAGGAATCAAATCTCTTATACCAACACCTCGGCGTCTGCTTTAGACCATACAAAGATTTATTCAACCTGCAAACCAAGTTCTTCTTTTCTTTTTCTTCAAAACCTTCAGGCTGGAGCATATAAATTCCCTAGCCAGTTGTGCCTTCAATTCTTCAATATGATCTTTGTTGGGTCCTGCAACCAACATGTCATCCACATACAACATCAATATAACAAAATCGTTATCACCAGACCTCTTGAAATAAGCACAAGAGTTAGCATTAAGTTTGTTGTATCCAAGACACATAATGAAGGAATCAAATCTCTTATACCAACACCTCGGCGTCTGCTTTAGACCATACAAAGATTTATTCAACCTGCAAACCAAGTTCTTCTTTTCTTTTTCTTCAAAACCTTCAGGCTGGAGCATATAAATTTCTTCTTCAAGATTTCCACGAAGAAAATATGTTTTAACATCTAGCTGCTCTAGATATAAGTCCAATATAGCACACATTGCCAAAACTACTCGAACTGTTGTTAGTCGAACCACAGGAGAAAAGATTTCATTAAAATCAATATATTCTTTTTGAGCATATCTTTTGACCATCAGTCTTGCACGATACCTCTCAACTTGATCGTCTCCATTTTCGCTTGATTTTGAAGACCTATTTGTTACCATTTGGCTTCCTTCCTTGTGGTAGTGGCACAAGGTCCCATGTATTATTTTTATGAAGGGCTTCAATTTCTTCTTGCATCGCCA